TGACATTTGAGCAAGAAGCATCAGGTAGAAGGTTTTTCATACTGATCTGTTTAAAAACAAATGGACCAATATCAGCTCTTCCTCAAATGTGGCATCTCATGGATCAGCCTGCCTGTACCCCAGGCCTAGCTAATCACCACTTTGCACTTGCTGGCAATGATTATAGAGCTGGTTTCTCTCCTGGGCCTCTCCTCTGGAGTCTCTGAAACCACCAGAATAAACAAAGCCAATATTTTGAATCTGGTGAAGTTGTGCTCCGGATCCTACTCTTTGTCCAGGTCTTCAGCACTAGCATCACCATACTCATTCCTTGACTGGTTCAAGACATCTGCAGATCTGAAACTTGTGTTCAGTGGTTTACACGACTGTTTCATCTTAATAGTCCATGCATACCACGACAAAAAGGAAAGGTAATATGCATATCTGCTTACCTGAAAGCTCTGCTGCCTGGGAAGCCCAGGCTGGTTGTCTTCAGATCCCACAAATGAATGTTTGTGCATCACCTTTTCCCACAAGCAGCCACTGCCTCTGGACAGAGAGACATTCATGGTTGCTTTTCCAGCTTAAGAGCTGAGCTGTATTTCTCTTCTGATTATTGTATTCTAATTACAGTATTCTCTTTTAATGATTATATTGCTGTTCTGCTTTTTTACAGCTGCTCTTAGATTAAAACTCCACATTTTCCTGTCTTAAGCATCTCTTGCAAACATCAGACAAAATGGGAAGTCTGAAAACCCAGGATCCTGTGGGAGCTTGGGTTCTCTGCAGGGTTTGTGCCTCTGAATCTACAGCTTTGCTGCATGGATGCCAGGACAGACGTATACTTGAATATATCTGATTCAGAAATACTAGCATAGGTGGAGGTGACCTGACAAGACGCAACGCAAAGGAGAAGCAAGGCTCTTGTCCCTTGTGATTAGGACAGTGTTGTGCTTTATGTTCTGCCTAAGGAATTACCATTTTGAAAAAAAACTGTAAAAGCTAGTGTGTTTGGATAGTTTGTAGAAACTGAGGAGCCTGGATTTATGTTTAAGGTTCCTGCTGTTGAACCTCAGGGCACAGCAGAGTCTGAATATCTAATTCAAAACACTTTAAACAACTGCTTCATTGAGCAATAACACTTTATATAACTAGTTTCTGCTTGTTTTGCATTTGCCCTTGGGTGTGTAAATCCCTGTTCACAGGCGGGCATGGGGTAAGCATGTAAAAACACAAGGGCAGAAAGTGGAAGAGTCGGGAATGGAATATGTTGGCTCCTCTACTAATTTTCTTTTGTAGGATGTCTGTGCTGGAGAACGTGCTTTGGTAGAGCAGACCAAGTTGTCTTCGTCTGTGTATTTTAGTTGATCTCCAGTGTCATCCTGTACTTTGCCCACACGAGAGAGTACTGTAGAAGTGCAGCCGTGCTTAGTAAGTGTGGCTGGTGAAATCAGCCGCACTTCAGTATTGATCTAGAAATGGTTAACAGGTGTCAGTGTAGTTTCAGAAATTCTTCTAGATTAGATTTTTTCTATGCTTGGACAGCTGTTTAATAGGATGTTGTCAACAAGAGCTGCACTTCATTTAAAAAATAAAGTAAGAAAACAATTCTTCCAGTTACCTTAGGTAGCAAATGGTTAGACCTTATGTTTTCCTCTTTTTTCTTATCTGTTGAACTGAGATAGTTTCATAATTTATTTTTTTTAATTCTGATTTAAGCTTAGAAGATGCATTGTTTTAACTAAAATTGAGTTCGTTTCTTAACAGAGGTACTTAATCCTGCACAATTTTGAAATCTATTCAATAGAAGTGTACCCAGAAGGGAGTTTATACCCGTTCAATTACATCTCTTTAAGCCACAATAAAACGTAGACCTCAGGTCCTTGCTTGGCTTGCAGCGATGTCTTATTTATTCTATGGCAATTCTTCCCTCAAATGCATTTATCTCTCGCTATTAGGAGCATGCATCCTCAGGATGCTGACTAGTGTTTTTGAAGCAGGTAGCCAACTCTGAAGTCGTACCTCTACAAAACCCTGCATATAGTACCGAATTAATTTTTTTTCTAAGAAGTGGTGAGAAGGAATTTAAAGCAACCTGACTGAGCCAAAAGCACTAGTGGGAAGGAATAAGACTGCTCAGCCTTTTCACCGGTGAGGGCAAGGCCTGAGGTCTGGATTAAGGGAGTGACTTCAAAGGAGATGCAGTTAAACTGATGCTGCTTGTGGTGCTCTCCACAGAGGTTAAAGTTTGCACTAAATCTCTTTAGCTTCTAGCTATTAAGGTGCAGATGCTCCAGTCTACTTCAGTGCTAACCAAAACTATGCATATGCCAAAGCCTGTTTACAAAGAGGGTAGCAAGTATTTCTGTAAAACTATAAGGCGAAGCTTAACAAATTCTACTTTTAAACCCATCACAGAAGTTCCCAGACATACCACAGCATGGATTTAATTACGGCTTCAGTTTTGTGGATGACTTGCCCTTATTTGGGACTGCATCGCCGCTAGAAGAGGCGATTCGACCACACAGGCCCCTTCCCTTCTCCTCTGCGCTTACCAATCCCCAGCTGCACAATCTCACGGCTTTGGTTGTATCAGCAGGAGTAGCTGTGCAGCCACGGGGAGAGCAGAGTAAGCTCAGCGCTAGCTAAAGTCCCACCTTGCAGGAGCGCTGAAGAAGCTGAAGGCATGCAGAAGGCGAGGGCCTGACTGGTGCAAAACCATGGCAGGTTTCCTCAGCAAAGTCTCCTGTTGGGTTTCTTTGCTTCAAGGTGACTAGAAAGTTGTGGAAGTTGCCGGATAAAGTAAGAGCTACGTTAAAAGGTGTGGGTATTTTACTGTATTTCACTGCTTAGGTTTTATAATGGTCCAAGCCATTGTGCTGCAGCATTATATAGTAAAAGTATATAGTAAAAATAGGGGAACACACCTGTTACTGTTCTAGACTGGGCTGTAGGAAGCACAGAGCTATGCTGCGCACATAGGAGGCAGGTGAATAAATTCAACGCTGTTTTCCCTTGGGTGCGCTGCTGGCGGCGTCTAATGACCAGCTGAGTGCAGTCCACGCTGAGATACTGGCTATCTTGGTAGTGGCTTGCAGTGCAAAGAGGTGATCAGTACTCATTCTGACAGGTGGAAGTTGCCCTTTCTTGGACTTAAAGCATCACTTTATATCCTGAATGCAAAGGCAGAGACAGGAGTGATGCTTTAGAATTTCTCCTGTTGCAAAGGAATAGTTAAGATTTTGCTGAAAGCTCACAGATTTTAAACTTTGGTCCTGGCTGCAAACTCAGCTGGCTAAATGCATTTCTCTTCTTTCTCACTGTGCTTCACTATTTCAGAAATCTGAAATTATCATTATGCCTGGAATCTTGTAATGGGCCACTTCGCATCACAGCCTGTGCTGGATGCCTCCTTTGTTTTGTTGTTTGTAACCTTCTGCTCATTTAGTCTTTCTGATGGCTTTGTGTCCCACCATTCCTTCAACAAGAAATCATAAATTGAAGAATATACAGGGGAGAAAACGGTTGCAATGGAGATTTTTCTCCATTCCTGGAAAACTAATGTCATGATCCTAACAAAAATGAAGAGATTTGTGCTTTTGTTTCTAGATAGGGAAAACTATAGGGAAAACTAAGCTATATTAGCCTTTTTGATGGACATCCGTCGTTTTTAAGAGACAGCTAATTTCTCAGCTGGTATATCTTCAACTTCAGATTCACTTGTGTTTGCACTCATTGCTGGATTTTCTTTTTGTTTGCTAATCTACTTAGCATTTAAATGCTTCTGTGCACCTACTGTCAGAGCCAAATCACATATAATTGGAAAAATGTGACTGGTTTGTTGAGGAGCTGTCAGTGTAAGTCAGATGGGGCTCGGAGAAGCGGTGTGTTCTTCATCTCGCCAAGCTCCACCTATCCGAGTCAACAAAATGAAATGCTGTTTGGATTGTAGAAAACCTGAATCAGAGCCAACAGGAGGCTCCTTGGCAGTACTGGCTGAGTTAAAATTTTTTTATCCTGAGGATGAGGGGTTGCAGTCAGACTGCCTTTACAGTAGGTAAAAGAAGGAGTAGCCAGAGCCCCTTCAGCAGGGCTGGCTGGCAGAGCTGCTGCCAGTTTTGCTACTGCCCATCATTCGTTTCTACTCTGCTGTCGCCTGCCTAGGACGAAAGCGACCTTCTTCGGTATTGACAGCCTGAGCTTAAGGCACGTTCCGCCTCTGGGTTTAACTCATTGTGGCTGGAGGTCATATATACCCATTGACCCTGCAGCACGCGGATTAAAAATAAAGCACCAAAATATCTGAGACAGCGGTGAAACCGCTTGGACCAACCACTGTGTTGGGTCTGCGTCAGCTCTGGTCCCCAGCGCAGGCCTTTGACGCAGCAGGTCTTGGCCTAGCGGTTTATCAGGGATGCAGGGGCTGCTCTTGGCTCTACCTTCTCTGCTGGGTGGGTAGGGTGGTTCTTCCCTCATGCCCCGTTGGTGATGTCTGAGCAAAGGAATGGCAACCGTCCTCCATGGTCTGCGTGGGTGTGGATGTGGTAACCGTGCTGCTCTACCTGACATCCTCTAACCATAAACCTTTGGGTAATGTAAAACTTTGCATACATACCGGTATATTTGAGGAAACTGCCCTGATACAAGAAAAGCTAGAGACAAACTGCTGAAAGGATAAGGATAGACCAAAAAACAAACAAACAAAAAACCCAAAAAACCCCCAAAACCCCAAATGCAAGGCCAGTTGTAAATCCAGCTGGTTAAGTCCTTACCAAGGAGTGATCTGGAGTGCCAGTTCTCCTTAGATGTTGGCACAGAGCCCAAAACTTCATGCACTGCTATAGCTGAGGGATTTTGTGAGTAGATGGGACTCTAATTAGGAGGAATATCTTTTGAGTTATTTACTAGAGTGAGCTTTGCAGTAAAAACGAGACCCTGGACACTCACAAGTGCCTACTGCTCAATGTACTTAACTGCTTTAAACTGTGCATTTTTAACTGCCTTTTTCTTGTTTGTTTCAGGTTGCATGTCTGGTTGGACTTGATGCATGACATTTGCATGACACCTAACAGCCTAGTTCTGGATGTGTCACTGAGCCAACATGGCCTACACAGCAAATGCTAATGGCAGTGCTGCAGGTAACTAATTGGGAACATTTTTCTTCCCCTTTTGGTTAATGCATTTTTTAACTTGCTTTTTTTCTTGAATTGTGAAACTAGCAGAAAGGTGTGGTGGCAGCAGTTAAAACTAAGCACTGAAAACTAATTTCCTGGTAGACCAGAGTCTGGCTCTTTTTTTCCTGACAACCGTTAAAATATTTGCAGTATGGAAAGTTGTTAGCAAAAGCGTAAGGGCTGGCACCTGCGTTTGTCAGTATGAAGCTGTCTGCTTTCACAGAGCTGTGCTAGTTTACCCAGACTATCAGAGACGCTGAGGGCTTCATTGCAAAAAAGTCATGTGGCTGTTGTGCTGTGTTTGTAATTAACTGGTGAGATTAACCTGGTCTTACAGGAATAATCTGCAGCCCTTCCTGATCACCCTTATGCGTCAGGCTAACTTTTGTTTCATGGTTCTCAGCAAAATACAAAAGCACAGACATCAAGGGTAGGTGTTGGGTTTGTTTCGCTTTTTTGTTAAGAAGATCCCGAGATGTCCGTTTTGGTTTGGTGCTACTCTTTGAAACAGATTGCTTGGCGTGTTCAAAGGTTGCAGAGAAGCTTTGATAGGTCAGGAAAGAGCAGAGATTGCAGGATGGTTGATAAAAGCGCAGCGGCAGCGTCCCTCTTGCAGTTGTGTCAATATTTTCTTGTTCTCCTGATGACTGCACAAACACAGCTTTAGCCCACTGAAGCTGAGGCTTCCACGTTGGGATTGTATGGAAAATTTCAAGTGCGTGGCAGGAGCTTGTGGGTGCTCTGTTGAGACTTCCTAATGTAGGTAGGATGGGGAATGGATTTATCAGCACAGGCTGGGGTGGCTGAGAGAACTTTGAATGTCTTGTCAAAGAGCCTTAAATATCTTTGTGTTGGGAGTATAAACAGAAATTTGAGCCCCCCTCTTTCCCCCTCCCCCCCCTCCAAATGGTGCTCACACACACAAATTGAGAATTGGCTTTTCTGGTAGGTTTGAGCACTAACCTAGTTTAAAAGTATGTTCTGGTATGAAATCAAATCTCAAATTACTGGCTTTGCTCACTGTAGATTTTTTTCTAGTTAGTGCAAGGTATTAAAGCATTTTGTGTGGAGGAAATTAAAAATATGTAATGCCGGTATCTGAGGTTTATGCAAAATAGGAAGTCTTTCTAGATGGCTAGTGGAAGTTATTTATATGAAGCCATCCAAGTTACCATTCTTCATTGATAAGTTAAGGTTGAATTACACATGCTATTAAACCTCTGAGACTGCTGAAAAAGTGTGTTTTCTCCTCTCTCCCCTCACAAAAGAAAGCAAAAGGACTATATTGCATATTGTCATACAATTGGAAAGCACATTGTCTAAGAAAAAAAGTATATTATTTTGTAGCCTTTTCTGAGAAGGCACAGTTCAAAAACCTCTGCAAGATGTCTGAACTCTAGCTATGTACTGCATAAACCCCACATAGCTTGACTTTTTTTTTTTTCTTCTCAGTAGTACACTTCTAACTTAAGTCATGCAGAACAATTCCATCTGCTTACAAGGAAAGAAAAAGTATGTGCATGGAGTGTTGCTAATTGGTTTACTGATTTTTTTTTTTTCCCCCCTTCTGTAGAATTGTCTAATGGAAAACGTTGACAGACTGACAGCCTGAGTCTAGAAGCTTAAATGCTTGTGCTGGGGATGTGATAATGCGAGATGAAGTTTTAGTTTCAGGACTGTTATGCGAACAAGATTTATTTCGGGAATAGAAGCTGTTTGTTCCCTTATTCATAGAAAGACGCTATAACGAATTACAAGTATTTAATTCGGCAGTAAATTGGACAACGTTTTGCAGAGACTGTCAGGACTTGTTGGCTTTGCAAACCCTTGGGGCCAGCGTTCTAACATGTAGCTGTGCGTGTCGGCGTCTCCAGATCCCTAGCAGTTCATCATGGACAGAGCATGGGGCTACAGATGGCTGTATGATTTGTTTTCTTGCTATGCGGCTGGGAGAGCATGCCTTCAGCTGAGCAGGAACTCATTTGGGCGTTGGAGGTATTGAAGCAAGGTCCTTAACTGTATGGAGCGCTAAGAGTGGAAAGACAGACTTCAGGGGTGGTGTTTTCTGCACCCGTTGAATCAGTGAGCAACAGGAAAAAAAACTAGAAAGACTTGTTACGGGCTACTGGGCTGCATTTATGTTACTTGAATATTTTGGCAAGTGTGACCACATGTTCAGCTGCATTCAAGTACGAGGTGACTAAGGAGCAGTGGTTTTGCTTTGGTTAACTGGAGAATGTGAGTATCTGCACTGTTAACTGATTTTTTTTTTTGGTATGTGAGCTTATATGCAGATAAAATCTATAGCGGAAAGCTTGAATTTGGAACTTGTTTGCAGGAAGGAGTCAAGCTATTTTGTATTTGCATTTTATATATATATTAGCTTTAAATATTTTCAGTGAGTGTGCATGTGAGATAAGCTACAAAGCTTTATTAAGACTTTATTATGAAAGCACTGATCATAAATTTCACTGCCTCTTGCGTATTTCAGCAAAGACGTGTACTTTAAATTTGGCTGATAAATAACAGAGGCTGTGATTTAGACCTCGGTGCTGTTTGTCAATAGTTCTGTTTGCTGGTGAATTACTAACTACAAGTTTTATCATTCTCTTCCTGGTTTCATTGCACAGAGGTCTTGTAGCAAACTGTATTTCTGTGCGCTACCAGTGTTCTTAATCCTCAAACATTTTGGAATTAAGATTGTTGTGCAGTCTGCTGAGAAAATAACCGAAGTCTCTCTAACGCTACTGATAGATAAATTGGTACTTGGCAGAAGAAGTTGTTTCATTTTAACAGGTGCTGCGTAGTCCCATTTCTTTGCTGCTTAGAGCCTGCCCCAGTGGCTTTTGCGCTTACTGATCAGTCCAGTAAACTCAGCAGGTTTAAGATGTGCTGTGGAGGTCCAGAATACGTCCTGCACTTACCCGAGCAGCTGGAGCAGGAGCTGGGGAATATCTGGCGTCTGCGGGAGCTGTTGGGAGGCTGGCCTTGTTTTGGTGCACAATACCAATTAATTTCTCTATGCAGAGCTCAAGAAAAAAAATTGAGGTGATTGTTTCTCAAAATAGTAATGGTGTCTTCATTAACCTCTGGGCGAAACTTCCAGTAATTGTTAGCTTCTGTGCTCGCTGAGACTGGTGCATAAATCATCTATCTAATGAGGCTCTGCAAATATTTTTGTAGTGAAATCTGTGGAAAGGTGCTCCAGTCAAGTGCAAACATCTCAATGCACACCCATCTAAAATTTATCCAGCAGTTTGGAAGCACTTCTGGCTGGGTTTTACGTGATTTCCTGAAACTGCTTTCAAAACACTTATTCTGAAAGCCACTAAAGAGTGTGAAATTCCAGTGCAATGCTATGCATTCTGTTGCAGAAAACAAGGAAGCTTCAAAAACAAACATATGAAACTGATAAAGGATTAAAAATTGTATTTATTTTAATCACCGTGAAAACGTCTGTTTTATCTAACTTTTGTAAGCACCTCATGCTCCGTTTCTAGAGTCTGCAGAGCTGCCAGTCATAACTGTTGTTGTTTAATAAGGCCAAAAGAAAAAGGGTTTTAAGGGAAGAAAAACATTTCCAGTTTTCCCCAGTAGGTTGGGCTGCAGGGGTCAGTGTAACAAGGCTTTTGCATAGATCCCTTCTTCATTTTATTGTAAAGCAAATGTATTTTGTGTTCTGTACATGATAGCTGAGATTTCCCTAGTTCCCCTTCTTTCCTTTCTACCCTTTCCCCCTCCTTCTTTTTTGAGGAGATGTGCTTGTTTTGATGCCCTTCCATCCCACTTTTAAAATGCTTTTGCTTAGCACGTTAAGTACTGCATTTTACTCGCATTTATCTGAATTTTTCCCCTTTATGATCTGCTCAGCCATATACTTGACCTCTTTTAGGTTTCCACACAGTTGTTAATGCTGTGGTATCATTGCAGCTCACTATCTTAGCTGTTGTTCCCCTTGCATTGATAAAGCAAGGGATTGCTGCTCTTGCCTTTTTCTTGGTAAGAGCCAATGCACGCATGTGTTTGCTCCCAGTTTGCTCCTCTTTCACTTTTCCTCTGGTCTTTCATGTCTACGTCTTTCCCATGTGCCCAGCGTCTCCCAGTTTGGCTCAGGGCTGGAGCACAGATCTGCTGTCACGTCACAGGGAGCACGTAGGTTGTCACTGACGTGAGGCTGCTCCTCTCTCAAGGCAGGTTAAGCCAAGAGCTCGGAAAATCTGGGCCGAAACCTGTAGGCGATCTTCCAGTGGGATTTCAAACAGCTACGGGTGTTTCCTAGCGCCTCTGCAGGCAGAGGGAGTCTCCGGCCATGGTTTCTGTAATCCTGTGGTTTGGAAGGGAGCTCTGGAGGTTTCTAATCCAGCCTCCAGTGGAAGCGCGATCTGGGCTGTGGCTGGGGGTTACCGTCGTCAGCGTCATCACCTCGCGGTGTGACGGTGACCGCAGAGCTGCAGTGACTGATACGAACGGGTTTTGGGCGTGGGTTTCAATGCAGCAGCCTGACTCGTCCCTCTAATTATTATGATTATGGACAGTTATTCTGCAGCACTGCGTGGTCCTCTAGTTCATTTTTATTACGTGAGCAGGTTTCCTCACTCTTAAGTGAAGTAAGTACCTACGTACCAATTAGTCAGAGAATTAGGCCGTTACAGGAGGCCATTACCTAAATTAACGTTGTTAGAGATCCTAACTTCAGCGGGAGTCAAAGACCAAAAATTTAATACATTTGTTTTTCATTTGGTGGGGTGTAAATGCTTTGGCAACTCTTATAACGTATTATGAAAACCTCTGTTGACTTATTAAACCTTTCTATTGAAGTGAATAAACAGAACACACATATTTGCTTAGAATACTTTTTTATCATATACATCTTATGCATTGATTTCTAAGAACTCTTGCCGAATGTTTGTGGACATGCTTTCATTTTAGTTACAGGTTTGTGCAAGTTACTAGAGTCTTTTCTA